TATATATATATATATATATATATATTAAGATCCTATAAAAACACTGTTCTTCAAGAAAACACAAAAGTAATAAGAAAAATAATATACTGAAAAACAAAAGAAAACATGGCGTCACCGTCACCTGCGACAAAAATGAGGCTACAATTCAAGGCAATGAGCGCTCTAAGCCTGTGAAAAAGAGTTTTAAGATAGGGCTTCTCCTTCGCACACGCCGACCTGCTTGCATTCTGAAACTGAATAAGCCAGCAAGAGAGATCAACGCACAGCCTCTTGTTCCTACACACACGGTGAGAGAAAAGACAGTATAAACAATGAGAAATGTAGCCCGGGGAATGAACGACAACAAAGGAGAAGAGAAACAAACGGAAGCTCACTGGAGATGGTTTAGGGGTAGGGTTTTCTTGCAGGATTCCAATATATCCCACAGATTCTTCACCCCCATGATCCAGAGAACAAGGAAGCAGATCTCTTTCACATTTCTTTTGAAAGAATTGATTGATTCTGCGGAGTGAATAGTTAGGGCGCCAATCCCAATGTAGAGCGAATTCAATTCAATTTTGATTTTAACGGGAAAATCTGGAAATCCTTCTCAGGGCCCTAAGCATATACAACGAAGGGTAAAGCGGGCCAGGCCGAGAGCCCATTCAGATATTTCCTTTTCAAACTGAAGACGCAGACCATGGACAATATATTAACTACCAGCCCATAAACTTCAGAATATATACATCATGTCACTATTAAAGCCGCTAATAGAAAACCTTGCTATTCGAAAACCTTGTTAAATGAGCTATGGACAAACCTTTGTTCGCATACATATATATATATATATATATATATATATATATATAAGAATTCATATTGGTTAGTGTGGTTCTGCAACTTTTATCATACAACGTTGGAGGAGGTTTGAAAATAACACCCTACATATATTTTTTTTCAATTTTCAACTAATCAATTTCATGTCAAACATAAACCGAACACGAACAAGAACATTTAAATCCAGTCGAACACAAACACATTGTTCACAAGCCAATTTCAAACACAAGAAATTTCAAACGAGTCTAACAGGAGCCAAGCTTGAGCTCGCTCATGCTCAGCTTCTTCACAACCCTAGTCCCAATATCCTAAACTAGCAAACAATACAATTAAACTATTACATAATTACAACTAAATTACATTCATGATACTTTCTTATTTCAAAAATTATTACAATAATGAATTTTTAATAGTATAATCATATATTTAACTAGATTAGATAATTAATCCGATAATTTAATTATAATATTATAAATATATATTAATCCTAACTTGATGCAAAACATATCAGGATATCGTAACATATTTTTTTGTCAAATAAAATATTATAAATACACATTAGATAGAAAGATATAAGAACAATGTATCTATTAATCTATAAATCTATTTGTTCTACATTTCGTCATATTTATAATTCCAGTAATATAGAACGCGGTATTTATTAATAGAATTTTTAAAAAAATTAACTAAAAAATAAATTTTCAATATGTGATTAAATCTTCATTCAATTTACCTTTTATCAATTTTTTAAAAAACTTCTTATTAAATAATAAACAAGCTTGAATATAAACAAATAGATCAAAAATTCAAACTTATTCATTTAGGTGCTAATACTTAACGGAATTTATATAATTTATATTTTATAAAATACATCATAAATAAATTTGAAATGAGTGACAATCTAATTGTTCATCAAATATTATAATTGCTTTTACCCGAGTTCTATTTTTTATTATTTTTATTTTTGTTAAAAGAAATGGCCAGGCGACCTCTAACTGCCCCTAATATACCAATAATTCAAGTACCATTTTTTTAAGGGCAACTGTGTCAAAGAGGATTCAAACACCCTGACCTGAAGAAAATTTGACATCCAGACTCCGAATGTCTGGAAAACGGCCCGGATGCACTGAAGAGGACGGACGCGGAATCCTCTCCTTCTCCGCTGCATCATCCAGGTCGTTGTCTGGACATCCGGAGTCCGGATGTAAAATCTTTTCACCGACTTAAGAGGTCTTATACTGTGGATGTCAATCAACTAATCGGGATAAGTTTACCCCAAGTTTTATCTATCAAAATCATTTGATTTGTTAGGACTAAGAGTCTGTTTAGGACAGCTTATTTGGCGCGGTGGATTTTTAAAATCGCACCTATACTGTTTGGGTAAACTGTGTTTTGGCAGGTCCAGCGTTTTGAAAACACTAAAAGTAGCGTTTTCACACCTTATTTGGCGCGGTGGATTTTTAAAATCGCACCTAGACTGTTTGGGTAAACTGTGTTTTGGCAGGTCGAGCGTTTTGAAAACACTAAAAGTAGCGTTTTCACACCGCATCTATCTAGGTGCGGCGGCAACTTTCTGGCAGCGGTCTGACTTTTCCAAAAGAAATAAAAATTTCTAATAGCCACCACACATAGCTTATCAACAGATTTTAATCAGTTTATCAGTAGATTATTTAATAAGCTGCAGCTGCCCCAAACAGACCTAATTCTATCAAAATCACCTTAATTTTACAAAACTAACCGAATCAATAGGAGCATAAAAAATAAAGAACAATGCACTTTCTTGGATAAATATAATTATTAACTAATTTATTAATTATTAACAATATTCACTCATTTCAAAACAGTCTCAATAACCACAAAAAATTATTTTGATGAATAAATAGCATAATTGAATCGTAAGACTTTCAAAATATAATACAAGTCACCCCATTCATCTCCACCCTTGAGACTTTCAAAAAATGTGACAGAAATAATACATATTACAAGCATATTAAACCAACAGAATAACTTACATATTTTGATCATTTATTTATTTATTTATTTATTTCAAATTACGAGGTCATGAAGCATTTTCAAGTGTCAATTGGACGCCATATTTAAAAGAAATAGGATTGATCCGTAGTACCTCAATCAACCTGCCAATATCCATAGATATATCTGCGGGGGACTTTACTCCACGATTGATCTGAAAAACATATCTTTAAGATTGCAAAGTATAATTTCGTCAAACATTACATAAATACCACATAATTCATATGATGCGTTTTGTGTTTACATATCTAACATCTAAAGGGTCATATTTAAATCCATAGCACTCAAATCTTTAATATCACATAAAAAGCATCACATTACTTCAGCTATATAGCACCAAAGGGTTGTAAATGCAAATATAAAAGTTCAGATGTTGGATATGTAAATACATAAGAATTGTGTGGTATGTATGTAAATTTCTATTTGAATAATTTGACTACGTTTGAAGTTTGAGTTATGAACCATGAAAACGGTATCATGCTTATGGAAGAATATGAATAATGTAATTTAAGCATCATAATTAGAATCCAGGTTGTGGCAAATTTGAGCAATATTAATAGAGCTGCTAAACAACAACAAATTATATAGAATAAATTAGATCAAGAAAAAAACATCCAAAGAATCAAACATCCAACTTTGTATGCACAAAATTGAAACTTGTAAGAGAGAATTTAATTTGAGTGGTTAAAATCATAAGCGAAACACAAAATAATAATAATAATATAAGCAAAGAAAATTGACTTAATATGTCATATAAAATGCAAAGCGATATAGAAAACTTGTGTCCTAGCTTTGCACGAAGATTGCAAATATAAAAATATAAACGAAAAGAGGACGGTAGAAACCAAAGTTCTACATAAAAAGCCCAAAAAGAGCAAAATATGGTAAACCAAATCAAATAATCAATTATGTGAAGTAACAAAAATTTGTTCTCCTTCGTAGTAGGAGAAGAAGATATCACAAAATTAGAAACATTGTTTAGTCTCTTATAACTAAGAAATAGTGGATGGTGATAACAACGATCAGACGACAAAAATCTAGTAATGGTAGCCTAGAAATGGCGTTCAAGAGGTGAGGGCCCAAAATTACAATTTTGTCACTAGAGCTACTAATACTAAAATTACATTACATGTATTCATATTAGCTCTACTCAAACAAAGACTTTTAGACTCCAATGTAAATCTTCATAATTCAAGCTTTTCCTGAACTTTTTCTCTAGTCTTATCCACAAGAAGAATATCATCAGTGAACAGCATACACCAAAGAACATCCTCCTGTAAATATCCAGTAAGAGAATCCATAACTAAAGCAAAATAAAAATATGGGCTTAAAGTCGATCCCTGATGTAATCCAACTGAAATAGGAAAATATTTGGTCAATCCTCTAATATACATATCTTTAATGACTTGAATATAAGTTATTAGCTCTAATATACATATCATATACATATCTTTAATGACTTGAATATAAGTTATATCAACACATTTCTTATCTAAAACTCTCCAAATGATATCTCTTGGAACCTTATCGTAACCTTTGTCTAAATCAATAAAAATCATATGTAGATCCTCCTTATTCTCTCTGTACTTATTCATCAAACCTTTCAATAAATGTAAAGCTTTCATAGTAGACACGTCCGGCATAAAACTAAATTAATTATTAGAAATCTTTGTAATGCAACTTAACCTATGTTCAATTACCCTCTCCCATGATTTTAAAGTATGACACATCAACTTAATTCCTCTATAATTTGCAAAATCTAGTGCAACCCCTTTATTCTTAAAAATGAGGACCAAAATACTCTTCCTCCACTAGTTCAGCATATTTTTAGTTTTTAAAATAATATTAAAGAGTTTAGTAAGCCAAGAAACACTCAAATCTCCTAAATATTTCTACACTTCAATTGGGATATAATCAAGTCCTACAGACTTTCCACCCTTAGTATTCTTTAAAGTTCACAATTTCTTTTTAACTAATACTACAATAAAAATGAAACATTTTATTATTATTAACGATATTAATATCACTAAGGTAGATCGTATTTTCAAAAATTTCATTGAAAAATTTATCAAAATAACCCACCCACCCAGCTATACTGAATATTTTTTCCTAAGAAATTTACTTTTTGATTTTCATCTTTAATGAATTTTATTTGAGTTAAATCTTTACTTTTCTTTTCTCTTTGTTTGGCAAATATTTTTCACTATCTTTAGTAGCTACTATATTATAAAGATCACTAAAAGAAAAATTTTTAGTGTCACAAAATGTTCTCTTAGACCCCCTACAAGCTACTTTATATTTTTCTCAGTTCTCTAAAAATTTACATTTAAACCAATTTACTTTAAATTTTATCTTTTCTTGCAAATTATTAATCCCATCAACTATTTTTATTTATAGAAAATTTTCCTTTTAATTCTCTAAGTAATCTCTTGTCCCTTGTTTAATAATGTTTATTACTTTATACTACATATCATTTGTTTCTTCATGAACAACCCAAATCTTGAAATCTTGAAGTTTACTCCTAAAAATAATTTTATTTGTGATTTTTCGATGTCCTCATCTAATTTTATCATAAAGATTCCTACTATTCTTTCGTTTACAACTCTTCACAATAAAATCCAGGACTAATAATTTTATTTGTCTTATAGGTGCCCCCATCGTGTGAGTATACATAAGCAAAAAAAACGAAGAATTATGTTTGCTTATGAAGATTGAAATAGGTACAAATTTAATGTTAATCATAACGGGAAGAAAGCTAAGGAGATTATTCTTGAGACTAGGTTCCGGAATGGGGTAACTTACATTCCAAACATCACAAGCTCGATAGTAAAGATGCTAAGTCTAGTTGAAGATGATAAGTGGTTGGTTATGAGTTATATTTTCGATGCAATGGATAGAATGAAAGATGCAATCAGTGTTGCATTTGGTAGAGCTAAGAAAATAAACAATTTTTTTGTATTATTGATGATAAATGGAAGTGTCAACTTCGACAACCATTAAATCAAGTGAATGTTTATCTTAATCCAAAGTTTATTGACAAGAATAAGTGTAAGATAAAATTAAATAAACAATTGATAGAATGCTTATACATAGCTATGAGTAGGTTAGTGGGAGACTAAAAAGAAAGTATGGTCATAGATCATAACTTTCTACTTATAATAATGTTTTCGGTTGATTTGGCACTGAGTGTATCATCTACAACAAAAAAAAAAATCTCCAAATATGACTATAGCTGACGCGGGAGTTTTTCATCTCGCGGTTACTGTAGCAGCTAAAGTACCGCGAACGAGGTTACTGTAGCTACTACACTAACTGCGGATCCTTCGTGCCTTTTTAGCTTCCCACTCTCTCTTTTCACTCCCTTCCAAAAAGAGTTTCATCCCTATTCATTGCCTACCTTATCTACCACCTTCCACTTCTCTCCTATTTCATATTCCTTCCTTTTTCATCCCACCCCCTCTTTAATTATTGCATAGTCTATCTCTTAATCTCTCATATTTATATGTAATTTTCTGAAAACAAGACAGTTTTTGGATGAGTGGAGATTATGAGTTCTGCCTTTAAGGCGTTCTTCCCCTCTAGGTATTATACCCAACGATGAGAAGGTGCGTTGACTGTAACTTGTCCGAGGTAGTGACCGTCTCCAAGGGTTCGGGTGGTGCTCCAGCTGTAGCTCAACCCCAACAAAACATTTATCCTTCCGCAGTCCCCTCCGACCCCGCTTCCAGCAACTTTCAACCATTTCTAGGCTTCTAATCCACTGCCCAGTCGTCGTCCACCACTTCCACTTGCTACCGCCCACCTCCCTGCTCCCAAAAACCTGTTATCCACACCCTGTTTTCACGTGCCACCGCCGCCCCGAAGTCCGTGTCCAGCTGCGGTCATCCCCCTGACAACACCCTGTCGGCTGTTATACCATCATTGCATCCTCCTATTCCGCCCGTCTCCTCCAAACAATCCTTTAACATGCTGCTTAGTCGTCGTCCACCACTCTCACCTCCACCCTAGGGTGCGTTTCGTGTTTGTATTGTTGTTATTCTCCTATAATCAAGAGTCGGTGTTTGAAGTCATTTTGAATTTCAGCGATAAAATTATAATTTTCTATTATGGTTTGGGTTTTTTCTCCGGATCATTTGGTATCAAAGACAGTCCAACCCTAGTCCTATCCTAGGATTCCCTAAATCTGCCCCTGCCCAAACCGCCAACACCAAAATCTTTCAACCCTAAAACATCGATGAATGAATTTGAAGCTCCCTCAGCTCCGAGAGATTGATGCGGAAACTTTTCATCCTGCGGTACTATAGCGGCTAAAGTACCGCGGACGCGATTACTGTAGTTGCTACAGTAACCGCGAATCCTTCTTGTCTTTCTAGCTTCCCCCACTCTCCTTTTCACTCACTTCCATAAAGAGTATCCTCTTTATTCATTGCCTACCTTATCAACCACCTTCCACTCTAACATATTTCAAATTCCTTCCTTTTTCATGCCACCCCCCTCTTTAATTCTTGCATAGTCTATCCCTTAATCTCTCCTATTTATATGTGTGTTCTCTAAAAACCAAATAGTTTTTTGATAGTAATGAATTTTGAGTTCTCCCTTTGAGTCATTCTTTCCCTCCAAAAGCTGACGAAGACAAGATGCTCCGGCTGTAACTCGACCTAGGTGGTGACAGTTTCCAAGGATCTAGGTGGTGCCCCGACTGTAGCTCTACCCTGACGAGACATTTATCATTCGGCAGTCCCCTCCAACTCTGCTTTCAGCAATTTTCAAGCATTTCCAAGCCTCCAATTCGCCACTCAGACGTCGTCCACCACTTCCACTTGCTACTGCCCACCTCCCTGCTCCCCAAAACATGTTGTCTACTCTCTGCTTTCCCCTTATGCCGTCCCTAAGTTTGTGTTCAATTGTTGTCATCACCCTCACAGCACCTCGCTACCTATTGTACCCTCATTCCAGCCTCTTGTTGCGCCCATCTCCTCCAACCAATCCCTTGACTTGCTGCCCAGCCGCTGTCTACCACCCTAGGATTTGTCTACCACCCTCACCACCACCCTAGGATGTCTTCCGTGTTTGTATTATTGTCTGTCTACCACCCTAGGATGTCTTCCGTGTTTGTATTATTGTTATTCTCCTATTATCAAGAGTCAGTGTTTTAAGTCCTTTTGAATTTCAGTAATAAAATTATCATTTTCTATTATGATTTGGGATTTTTCTCTGATATCAGTAACTAGCTAAAACTTCAACATAATTTTCACTATTTAACTGATTTAATTTTTTTTTTGCATGATCTTATAATTGTAACTCAGATGAGTGATAAATAATGTATGGTGCATCGACCCTAAGTTTATAAGAATTAGTTGTTAAAATTCAAAGATTGGTTTGCAATACTACTAGGTATAAAAGGAATTGCAATCTCTTTGAGCAAGTAAATAATTTAAAAGTTTTAAATATATTAAGTATTTCATATGTTTTATGCATTTATTATGATTTTTTGTATAAATTCATAAAATAAAGATAAATCGGTTAGATCAAAAGTATTTAAATTATTTAATTTTCATCAAATACAATCTAAATAAATTCAATTTCAGAGATGACATTGATCCAATCAATTTATTATCTATTGATAAAAATTGTGAGTGATTGGTTCGACAAATGGAGGATGCTGGCGAGCTGCAATTTTATCATGAAATTCTCATTTGGAAAAAAATTGAGCAAGCTTTAGAAAATGTTGACAGAAGATGGTACTTGAGATTTAGAATCTCAAAAAATAAGGAATATTCATCCATGTTGAGAACTAGTTTTTTCTTAACCTACGTTCATTATATTTGCGCAAGAAGACAAAATTCTAACAAGAATAATAAAATTTTGAAGATAAGAAAATTTTACTTGAAGGAGAAAGTAATAATGTCAATGAAAAAGAAGATAATAAATAATGCATTTCATTAGTTCATTTTATGAAGCTTTAGTGTTGAGACTTTATTAATTTATTTATAAATTAAATCGTATATTTTTATTATGACTTTTAAGAGTTCTTTAACTTTTTCAACAAATTTTTAGTTTATAATTATTAAAACAATCTATTAGAATTTAGAGATTGTCAAAAATTTGAATTTGCATCATATTTTTTTCTATTCTACCTCAAACTTTTTGCCATCGAATAGATATTCAATGCTCTATAACCGTTAAGGAAATGCACCATTATATTTATTATATTTTATATGTTACAAGTGTTTTAGTAAATAAAAGTTTCGCTTCGCTTTGCAATTTGAAACAAGAGTAAACTCTTGTGAGTTCTTTGCGCTTTAAAAACGCAAATTCATTTATCATGTAAAAGAGAAAGTGGTTTAATTTGTAAAATTATTGTAATAATTACCCAAAAAGAGATCAAACAACAAACAAAGGGAAATCATTTAATATAAGATATAATTTTTAAATATTTATAACAATTTTGTAGTTACAATATTTTTTTATTTTTAATAAATTTTAAATTTACTTTATATAAATATTTTTAATGAGGCGATGTTGAGATAATTAGTTGGATAAGGGTAGCTCAAGTATGAAAGCTCCTCGAACCTAATTCACAAGCTATTTAACAAGTTGAGCTTGAAAAACCTCATGAGTTGGCTTAACTCGATTACACCGGTAAACATAATTCAACCTAATTGAATTTGCGGATTTGATTGGGATAATTTCACTAATCTTACGATATAATATGCATCAAAAAGTATAATTAATTCGAGTTTGAAAATCAAACTTAATTAAAATTGATATCATAAACATCATTCCACAAACAAGACAAATCTTGCAGCGGCACAATGTTAAAATCAATTTTTTCATAAATTGTATCATCATTTAATCTTAACAAAATTGCACATCATGTTATTTCGAAATTGAACTTGATTGCATAATACAATTGATGATCGAATAATCTAATCAATTCTAGTAATTTTTTAGTTTTAGGGGATTGTACAGTAAAATCCAAATAATGCAATATGATTTAGTTTAAATTAATTAAAATATTGTGTTATGTTAAATTTAATTTGAGCTCGATTCTCTTGAGTACATGCTTGTCATCTTAGTCTCTTCAACACATAAAAATATAACAATAAAAAACTCAAAAATTAATAAAATAATTTGCATTTTGAAATCTAAATCTTTATTTCATTTGTAATAATCAAGCTACTCGGACCATTCATTTTCTTCAAGTCATGTACATTCCTCAATGTATTTTACTCATGATTTGCTCTTTCAATCTTTACTGGAACTGTAAACACTCGTACACGTATAAACCTTATTTAAACAACAGTATTTAAACCAAATTGCGTGTGTGATTAGGAAATTATTTAGTATAAACTTAAGCTTAATGGTTTAACATAGAATTTCGTCTCATGACCATTCATGAACTATTATTTAGTATAAACAATTACCTAATTTAACCATACATGATTCTTACATTGGTGTATTTTTAATAAACATTAATTTGACTTTCCCTTAGCAATTAACACAGGTTTGTACTCCCAACATGAGAGATTTTATAGTATTCTTTAATATATAAAGCTATTTATAAAGCCTCATCCATTATTTTTTTGTGAATTGTAATGTAGTTCACTCAAAATTTCTCTCATTAGATCATCAGAGAAAAAACAATTGCAATAAAATAATTTAAAGACAAATAGTATTTAGCTATAAGGCCTACAAACCTGACATTGTACTCAAATACACCAGATTTATCTTCGTTACAAGCCTTACATTGATCATACAAGTAATCATTAAAATCACAAAATCATAAATATTAATCTTTAAGTTATATTTGATTTCATCCCAATAAAATTTAGCAACAACATTGCCAAAAAGATTGAGCATAAAATTTGATTTAGCACAACCAACTCTATCGAAGTAAGGCACATTGAACTCTTCAAAAAAAAAAAAAAAACACTCAAATCATCCACCCATCTTAAAAAATTTATAAGATCATCTCTCTCATTGAATGATCTCACAATAGTTTCAATGTATTCATCTAAAACTACAACCTGCCATGTCAATGGATAAATAGCATTTTCTGTTACTTTTATTGACACAATTAATATCCCATATTTTGTTGATATAATTATAATTGATGCATCATGAATTAGGATTTGGATATCGTAATTACAAACCACTAAATACTTATTTTTACATTCTTCAGACGCAAATCAATAAATATGGGAGAGTTAGAACCCAAATGATAAAGTCATGACCGAATAAATTTAGAAAAAATCAACAAAACAATAACCCACACAAAATCAACGAGCGATTACAATTCAATCACCATAATTAAAATGTTAGCTATATCAAACATGAATAGCATCAAGGGCAACAAAATTTTGTAGATGAAATTAGACAAAAGAAGGAATTTATTAAAATATAAAATTTAGACATCACATCAATGGGAGATGACTTCTCTAAAATTAGTTAATCATGTTTGTGCTACAATCAAACAAATCAAATATCCAATTTGCATAAGAAATTACTAAAAAATGAAAGAAAGAAAAATTAATAAATCAAAATTGTTCAAATCATTCACTAAAGACAAACCATACCAAATAACAAAGCCAAACAAAATTCATTTAAATCATTTATTCTATCATGTCTAATGGGTTACAAACTTATAAATCACCATCAAATACAATTTAAGAATATGTTGAACCCCCAGCTCAAAGTTAAAAAGATAAGTTCAAAAATCAAGCCAAGTTTAGGTCAACTGATAACTTAAAACCTTTTTAATAAGAGATATTTCCATCCTTCCAATAAAAAAAACCTAAATCAAACTTCTTATTGGTTAATGTTGAGGTTTTTTAAGTAAAATTATGGTCAGCACATGAAAACCCAATGTGTCAACATGAACCTGCCATAAGTTGATTGTTTCTCTTGTCAGGTTAGGTTGTGTTTAAGCTTCATCAACTCAACTTCGGGTTGGAGTTTTTAATCAAATTAAAAAAAAATAGGATCGTAAGTTGAACTAGATGTAAGAACAATTATTGTCATCAATGCTGATGGGCAGAACACCCCCAGTGTCATATACATCAATTCTATCATAACAGATTGACCATTCTGACGGTGGATTAATGCATAAAACATACTAAATATTTGTGCATTTACATAGGTAGCACACAATTCTTATGTATTTACATATTTCACACCTAAACTTTCATATTTACAAACACAGCACTCTAAACTAGCACTATTACCACTTATTAAAAGTGAAATACACTGTTAATGCATAGATTTAAAGCGCCAGAAAGTTTGCGTGAGATACTTAAATACATAAAATTTTGTGCTACGTGTGTAAATTTCTCAAAATAAAAAAATTATTGATGTATTTAAATATGCGATTCTTTTCCTCAAGTGTTGACCTGAGTAGAATATTTGGGTGTATAAACATTACTCAAATAGATATGGATTTGTGAGAGAGTGGTTTGTTACTCACAGATGAAGCAGATACAGGCTTGATCAGTGATCGATCATATCCTCGATAGTCTGCAACTGCTTCAGCCATCTGTAACCTCGACAATCTATCAGGTCCACCAACATTTAGAACTAATTTGATTTGATTTCCATCTGTGAAAAGAACATGCATGGCACTTAATCAAAACTTGACAACATAAATTATCACAAAAAAACTATTGATTATACTTCTTAAGGAGCTATATTAAAACCCCAGAAGTTTTTTTTTTTTTTTTTTAATTAAAACCAGAAGTCATTCAATTTGCTAGTCATTACTAGGGCTGTCAAAAATGTTCTTCGTTCATGAACAGCTAGTGTTTGGCTCGCTACGGAGCTCATGTTCGGTTTGTTCAATAAGCAAATGAGCAAAACACGAATATTTTTTTTGGGCTAGGTTTATAAACAAGTTGAACACAAAAAAATCTTTATTTGATCATGTTTGGCTCGTTATTTTTCAAATAAATCAGATAAATTTATTATATATGTATATATATTAAAAACAAAATTGCAATTATAAATCAGAAAAAAATTAAGCTACTCAAAAATTAAAATCCTTACATCTATTAACCATATAATTTAAATATATGATATATTAATATGTTATATTAACAAATAATAAAAAATAAAACCTCAAACACTGTTAATTTGGCTACTCTATCCCCCCATTCTGCCAGAACCAAAATGCAGTCATTATTTGCTCTTTCATTTTCTAAGAGAGAGAACTCGACGCCTTTGCAACTCTGCTTGGGTTAGGACTCTTCACTCATTTCCATTTTCATCGCAACGCAAACAAAAGCCTAGGAATCGACGATCATCCCTAGCATACCTCGCTGGTAGAGAACAAGATAAGAATGCATCCATCTCATTTTTGAGTAGTGGCTTGTAAGTAGTGACTAGCCTCTATGAACTTTTTGGGGGTGTAAGTGAGCCAAGCCGACTCGTGAGTTGGGTCGATAAGTGGCTCGTGAGCTAAGCTCGATGAGCTGATAAGCCAAGCTCCCAAGCTCAAGCCACGACTAGACACGTTAGCTCGTGAGTCAGTTCCTTTAAAAAAATATATATTAATATATAATATACTAAAAATATATAAAATTTTAAAAAAATTATCTTTAAATTATTAAATATGTTAACAAAATAATATTTTATATTTTATATAAATAAATTATTATCATTTATATCCTTATTGTTCATTATATTTGTTAATATTAGCTTAAATTAATATTATTTTTTATCTTTTATGACAAATTGGCTCAAGAATAAGCTCGAACTCGTAGACTTAAGCTCGACCACGACCTTGAGCTCAAACTCAATTAATTAATCAAGCTCAAGCCGAGGGTTGCTCAAGCTCGGCTCAACTCATTTTTAACCCTAGAACTTTCTTCTACTCTCTCTTCTCTCAATTATATTACTATTATTTATAAAATATACGATCCCCGTGTGAGGAATGCCATGTGAATGGCTTCATTCTCGATGTACCATGTGAATTGCTTCATTCACAATCCAGAATTTTGTGTACCAAACTGCCAGCCATTTTAGGGTTTGATTTAACGTGCAACAAGTCATATATTTTGTCATATTTTCATTTCTAGTGATGCTAAATGAATACAGAAGCAGAGCTGCATAGGCAATGAGGGTTGGTTTGTTTTTTGTGATTTTTGTTAAGGCTGGTGGGTTACTTAGTGACTTATATTAGTGTATATTGGTTCATACAACGTTAGTGCCTTACCTTGCATTTGAACTGAGCATTGAGTACGAGTGTTTTGAAATTGTGATTCTAGGGTTTGCTTTAGTTGATTTTTTTCATAGATGTGATTAATTTTATTTTATTTTTGTTTACGCACATTTATCATATGTGGTGAAATGCTTGTTTTCTAAGACTTTCATATTACTAAAGTTATTTGGTTTCTTATGTTTTTGTGGTTTGAGACTATGAACAATTCCAACAATTTCTTAATTGCTTTTGTTGGGAATTGATCCACTGAGAAATCGATGATTCTTTATCGACTGTTGTTGACTTGTTGTGACCTTGTGGGCTGTGGTCATGGAACTTTGATTTTGTAACTTTTAATTTTTGCGATTGGGCGAAAAATTGAATTTTTTTGGTTGCTTGCTGACATTGTTATCGTTTTGCTGGGGATTATGAATCATTTTTAGTTTACAACATTTCAGTATTCACTATCACTGAGTTTAATTGTAATTTTATCTATAAATATGTATTTTGGTTATTTTTTGTAATAAAATTTTAGTTAGAAATTCTTATTTTAATTGTAATTTATTGTAATTCTTAATTTGATGAAAATAAAAAAATATACATTTTTTAAATTCATTTTTTTATATATCTGTTTTCACAAATTCAACACTTTTAATCTTAATTTTTGAGCTAAAGTCAACCTGTAACAAATAAGTCATTTCGAACGTTTCAATTCAAACACAAACACAACATTACTGAACAAATACGAACAGAGGCCGAATTCAAACACAGGTATTTTTAAACGAGTTGAACACGAGTAAACTAACATTTAAATTTAAACAAAAACACAATATTACCAAAAAAAATACAAACACAAGCTGAATTTAAACCCAATTATTTCTTAACGAACCAAACACGAGCGAGCTGAGCATTTACACCGCTAGCCATTAGCTATAGCTCATAATCTCATGAATCTTTTTAAACATTAATCGACGAGAACCTATGGACAGTATCCCTCCTGTTATAAAGAAGCATTTTTATCAAACATAATCTATTGTAGAAACTGATGAGAATGTGTCGGTCAACTTTTTCGATTAATAGATTTGAACATATGAATATGAAAATAATTTTTGAGATTTAATTTAAATATAAAAGATATATAGTTTGGGTTTTGAAAGTAGTATGTTTTAATTTTTGAAAAATGAGACCAAATGGATCTCATTCGTCTAATAGTGCATAATCGTGTCCGATACCGCGAATACTACACCCTCCCGAAAGATAAGTGTAGACCTCGGCGATAGACCCAATCCTGCAAACTAAGAGATTTGTGACATCTGTTTGGTCTGCGAACCTTTTTATGTATGACCGACAAGTTCTCCTATCTAATACAAAGATTAAATAGGGTTTATTTTACCTGGGCTCCAAGT